AACCAAAACAGAAAACAAAAAACCCTTCAAACCAACACCGAAAATAATAGCTTTTCTTGGGAGATGTAAAGAAAAAGTGTAGTAGTTGTGAATGAGAACATTTTCTCATTCTCATCCACTCTCCTAGCATTTCTTAGAAATGCGAACTAGGTCCTCGCTGATCATGCACTGACACCAAATGATCATCATCTATGCTTCCCATGGTATGTTCTTGTCATAGAAAAGGATTAGCTCAGGGATGCAAGTTCCTTTCGTTGCTGGGTTAGTGGGCATTCCAGCACTCAACTGATAGTACCTGGGGTTAAGAAATTAAAGTGCCATGCTTAAAAATATACCATTCAGCAAACGTCTGCCATTTTCTTGTAAAAAATAAGACTTCTGGCATGAAGACCCTGTCAATAATTATTAATACTGGCAGTCTGAGCACTTGCAGCAAGACAAAGCGGTAGCAGAATGAATCATTGAGTATCCAGTGACTTTGTAGGTGAACTGTAGAGGAGTGTTGTTTACCAAAACATCTGTGTTACAACATTGCTTCTCCTGCCCTAACCCTCTAGGTTGCACCATATGTAAAATCATACCTACCTATGATATATGCCATGTTTCTCCTTTCTTTCCAGCAAGATGCTGATTGGAGGAATGACATAGACCTGAATTAGCTAGATATATGTGGGGTTTATTTTCTTTTCATTGAGTTTTCAACATGTGATACAAAATTTATGAAGAATCTGTTAAAGCAAAAGCAGAAACAAGCTTCCCCCTCCCAAATTATACTATTCATGATAAACTTGAAATAAAAATTAAAAAAAGAAGCTTTGCCAGTTAAATGTGTTTGATCCTGGAAAATGAATGAATAAGCAAATACTTGATGGAAATTTTGGGCCTTTTTAATCTTAAGGGATATTCCAGCATGCATCTACATCATGCATACCTACTAAATTACTGTAACGGTTTATGGCAGTGATACTGTTAGATGATATTTTGTCTATATTGACTCTTTCAGCAATGCAATAATGCTCATGAAAATAATAGCATAGATTCAAGCTTTGTGTAGGCATTTCTATAGGAATATGGCTTTTTTTTTTTTTCTTTTTTGGAGGGTGAATGTACTCTCTCTACAACTTGACCAAAACCAGGATGCCTCAAAGCAGACGTTGACATAGCATTTTACACACTATTGGCTGGATTTCTCATGGGAAAACCAATGAAGTCTTGCCAGATCAATTCATATCTGTCTCCTAAAATTCCAGACAAGGCACTGATGTATGAAAATCCATGGAAATAATGTGGGCCTGATGTGACACACTGTGTGCTGAACCAGCCATAGTAGGGTTGTCAAGATGTGTTTCCAGTCCCCAGAACCGTGAGTGCGCAATGGATTCGTGAACTTCTGATGTGGCGCTACTTGGCTTTCAGCATATGGTGGAACAGTGTCCCTACATAAGCTACTACTTCATCAAAATATTTATAAGCTCTGCAATTGGAGATTGCTAAAATCAGGCAGTGCTTTCTGTTTGGAAGCACGTTAAATAAAATATAACTGCATTGAATATATAGGTACAAATACAAGATGTTGTCGTTTGTACTACAGGATTAAGTATGCCAGGTCCATGACCATGGCATGTTACAATTGTTTATGCAATTCATTCGACAGATGGGGCAAGAAACCTGTCTGAACTGTGCAGATAGTTGTCTTAATTACACTAGGAATGTAATTAATATTTCTTTATGCTTCCCCAGCACCTGAGGATCTCAGAACTTCTCACTCAGATAAAAAATCTATTGCATTTGCATCACTGGACTTTCTCTGGTTTGATGTTTAATTTGGTGGAAGTAATCAGGACTGACACAAGGTTAACTGAAACCGAACATCCTTCAAGAAACATAGCTACGTCTTTTTTAATGCCTTGGGCAGTTTAACTCCTAACACTAAAAAGTAAATAATGATTATGATGACTATTTGGAGGAAGTATGGAAGTTGCTTAAAGTTCTCAGAAAATAAACCAAAAAGAATGATAAAAATAAAATTAATATTAAAAAGGGTGTCTTCTATTTCCTTTTTAATTCCTACCTCAGCTGCTTAGATAGTTATGATGAATCTAACCACCAATCTTTTCAGTCATAAGGAGGAGTTTCTATGTAAAACATCAGTAAAAGAAGGACGGAGTTACTGTGCTCTCAGAATCTGACATGTTTGGAGCCATTCAGTCTGAAATGGGATCAGCAGCATGCAGGCAGCTTTGAGGGGGAACCAAATGTGCGAAGAAAGATCGATTAGGCATGAGACTGGTAAGAATGATTGAACACACGAGTTGATAAAATGGATGTCTACAATCACTAAAGCATTTGACTGCTGCAGAACATTATTAGGAATTAGCTACGGTTCCAAGTTTTTGTCAGCCTAAAGGCAAAGGCTATTGCATATAGTGATCATCAGGTTATTTAGAGAGAAAGCCTGATTTGTTATGGGAGTAGAGCACTCATTATTGTGCTGTAAATTATACAAATTATTGTTTGGGTTTTTTTAAAGCAAGTCTTACAGTGGCTATACTATATTAATTAAGATTAGTTCCCCAGTAGTGCACTCTTCTGCTGTTTTTCTGTCATAGCTTGCAGCTAACTTCAGTAGTGGGAATTTTTAACAATGAATGCACAGTGGTAACAATATAAAATTAACCTTTGCATTTAAGCACGTCCCTTTTAAAGTCATATACAGGCTTAAGTTCTTTGCAGAACCATGACTACAGTGTCTATGAAATGGAAATAGAGGTAGATTTTCCTAACAAAGTTTTTATGGGGTCTTTTTTTTTTTTCTTTTTTGATGATGGAAGTCCTGGCTAAAGGTTTATTCCAAAGAGTGGAAGACTGATACTAGAATAAATCTCAATCGCTGCTGCAGATACCACGTGATACTCCCTTCAGAAACAGGCTGAACATCCTTCCTCAACCCCAACTGACCTGTCTTATGTACTAAAGGCAAAGTACTTAAATATGTTGTGCAATAAAGATCTGGATGGAGAATTTGGTCTAATGGGGTGATGTTTAATAGTCTGAAACAGCATAATAGGACATGGAAAATGCTTAATATGGGTCACAGTCTAAATGCCACAAAGATTTCAATATGGTGACATAACCATACTATGATCTATCTTTTTCTTTGGTTACAACAGCTCCCTTTTTACAGGATATGTGTGCACCAACACTGAGTATGTCTGGTGTATATCTGCATAGACTTACTGATTTCATTTCTTTTTATCGTTTCTGTGTGACTTTTCTGTAGTTGAATCTGTTTGGATAAACAACACTCCACTCCATAACACATACATAAATGCAAGATCAATTTATACACACCCATTTAAAAAGTTGCAAAAAAATATGAAAAATAATGGCAGCGAATGAAACAGAAAATGTGATGTTTTCTTTCGGTTTGGGTTGCTAACTATACACATAGGAAAAATACCAGTAAAACCCAGTCACCATATTGATCAAAAATGACAAGGATGTTTTATAATCTAGTTAAATCACTGGAGTGTATGGCATGCTCTGCTTCATATGTGAGAGATGTGCAGCAGACACCAAACATGCACTTAGCAGGTCGTAATCAGAACGAGCTCTGCACATCTTGGGTGCTAATTACAATCTAAGATTAGTGGACAACTTCCCAGCAGCACATACATGGGAAGTCTTCATGCAAGCCCTAGGCAAACCATGCATACAGTAAATCGATTCACTACTCCTTCTCCTAATTCTGAGGTATATCCACCTGCAGAATGAATTTACAGCATTATTTGTGTCTGTGGACACACAGTTTAGAGCAAACATCAAGGGCAGTGTTTTCAGTGAGTGTCTGACTACAGAGATGAAAAAGTGAGGTATAAAATATTATCATTTCATGGAAATGTAAACAAGACAATAGGAAAGAAGGGAAGAAAAATAGGCAGCTGGAGGACATATTTTTTCCCTGAAAATTGTCATTTAGATGGATGACATCATTATACTATGAGTGTGGTTACTCAGGGTGAAACCGATCACTGGATAATTTTTTAAAAAAGTACTACAAAATAAGGATCTCTTATTTTACCCTGACATCTTTTATTTTTATTTAGGGTTTGCATGACTTGCCTTTTTTTCACCAGGAATCCAGTGCTAAATCAAATAGTCTTACCTATGTTTATGAGTGCTAGAAATCACCAGAGCTCACAAAAAATTGCAAAGCAAATGTGTGAGGTGTTTAGGCTGGAAAGCCAAGAAAACACCAAATGTGCTGCCACATATCCTAGTTATTCAAAATGATTATATCATTTTTACATGGAGAATGACTGCATGCACTCAAAATGGGAATGACAGCCATCTCAAGTGGCCAGTCTCTGTCCTCTAATGAAGTGGAAACAAATAAAGAGGATGTCGGCTTAAAAAAATGTAAGTCACAAACCAAGTTTTAAAACTTCTAAAGGAAAATTTTAAGATTTGTTGTGATTTTTAAGCAATTCTAGGTGTGTGTGGGAAATTGTTCAGCTTAAGTGGAATGCATTCTAGGTTAGAAGAAACATGAACATATGCAAATTTAGAACATCTTCTTAAGTTAAAATTCAGTCCAAAGTTAATGAAAGTTTTCCACCAAATCTCATTGCTTTCAATGAACTTTGGACCATGTCCTTGGAACTAAGTATAATAATATGTATGCCTGGTCAGTATGTTAATTTCCAGATAATTGACCTGTAAAGAAGGTTTGGGGTTTATTTATTTTTTGTGTGTGTGTGTTTTGTGGTTGTTGGAGTTTGTTTTAATCTTATATTTATGCTTATTTTCTAGGCCTTTTAAAATGCACTTTAGTGGCTTTCGGATTTTAAAAAAAGTAAAAATCAACAAAAGCAATTTAATAGATCCTGTGACTCTTTTTGAAAATCACATTAATTCAGCTGAGGTGTCTTTTTGATTTTGCCTTTTTTCCTATGTGTATATTAGAAATCTAAATTGATTACTGCTTGATTTGTACTTACAAGTAAATGCTGGATTCATTGCCCCCGATATCAGGTGACTGGAGTTTCTGCACAAGTATCACAATTATGCCAATAAAAAGCACAAAGTTTATCTAGGGGAAAAAGAAAGGAAAAAATGATGACAATCATCTATTTTTTCAAGTATGAGAATGAGACATTCCCAGTGACTTGCTGGCTCCATTGCGTGATTCTTCTCCAAACTGCAATCTAGAAGTTTTATAGGGTCAGGAGTAATGGGATAAGTTTACAAGGGTCTTATCGCCCCTTTTCCTGGCAAAAATATCCCCCTTGCAGCAGCTAAAGTAAGGCAGAATTTCTTCAGTCCCAAGCACCAGAGAAGACAAGCATAAGCAAAAATTTTTCAACATTTTTCATTATCAACCAGTACAAAGAATAAAAAGAAAGATCCCTGCACATCAAAACCATATAGCAAAGTTCTCAACCGTAAAAGCATCTTTAACTCTCATTCTCTGAACTAAGGCACTTCTCAGTTTAGCAGTATCCATCAGTGACAAGTCAGTGTCTCCTCTTTCCTAAAAATCCCATGTTGTGTCATTTTCTCTCTGCTTGGCTGAATCTGACCCAAGATGAGATGACCTCATGGGGAGGTCATGGGGAGGTGTGTGTGTGGGGGGGGGATGCATGGGGGTTAATGTTCACCTTCGTGCCTTTTAGTTATAAGTCATCTTCTCTTTCATAGAATCATGTAATTGCAGATAGAGTTTTAAAAATGTGGAGATTAATAAAATCAGTTTATTTCAATGCTTTGGCTTGAGATTTGGCTGTCACCAACTCCATAGCTTCTCAACACCAGAAGAAAACAGTGGGAAATTTAAGTTGTTCCCTAAATGCAACCTTTTACTCCTGTAAGGAGATCAAGAAGTTAAACTAGATGTGAGCATCTCTTTCAGAAGAACTTTCTATCTGATCTGAGGACTTCAAATGAATGGAGAAGCCCAGTCATCCCTTGCTCGTGGCTTGAATCTTTAATGCCTTCAATAGAAGCCAGGTATAATTGATTCCTCAAAGCCAGAATGTGGTGCTTCATAGAATATGTCTGTTAAGCATGGAAATTTTCGTACATCGATATTGCAAAAACCCCAAACCATTGGACCATCTCCATCTCAATACCCTTCAGTGTTATTAGCTGAATTACCTTCAATGTGTCTGAAGGATACTGTACTTTAGACAGCTGTCCAAATCCTTAAGAGAAGCATCAAATCTGATGAAAATACCTACATGTAGATAGCTACCTGTGAGCTGGATGTCTAAATTCCCACAACAGTCTATGAAGACCTGGCCAATGCTGTCACTGGAGTATGGAGAGCAACCTAGCATGCCCATGATTAGATACCTACATGTGGTAAGCCAAATAGCTTTTCTGGTGCTACTATAACCATATTGTCTAGGGGCTCAATTTAATTTCCTAACTGGAGGAGGCCAACATCGTTTTAAAATTCCCACATTCTTTTGGGGCAGCAGCTGGAGCCCAAACAGAGTATCCATACACAGATATCTAGCATCATTTGAGTCAAATCCAAGACTTCCATCGACTAGAGAGCCTAGATACCTGGCTGACAATTGAGCATCTTGCACTATGTCCACAACACTATTATAAAGCTAATATTAGATAAATAAATGTAGCTGTGAAACGAATTCCATTTAACAGATACAGTCCAGTTTCCTTGTCACTGGCATCTAGTATTGCTTTGGATGCCCTGAGCTGTCCCACTTGGCCTTCAGCTGCCACCTCAAATAGCACAGGATTCCCATACATCCTATGTCATACCTGCCAGCCCCAAGCAAATGCTCCATACGCTCTAGGGTCTTACTCATAGCACTTGGTATCGATGTTTAAGCAACTGAATAACTCCTTGTCTACATAGTGTTTGCTTGCGGGCCGTGCACCATCATTTATCTTGTTCTAAACCTTCTTTATAACAATGGAATTACTTAGCATTGTGGACGGCAAATGGTGGACCCTCACACAAGCTGTCCAGTAGTCCAGGACAGCTGATGCAGCATAGTTTGTAAAGCCGTTTTAAGCCATTTGTATTGGTTATTTCTCCTCAGAAGTGCTGAGGAAGTGCCTCCTCCAGGTGCTACTTACCATGATTGATCCAACCACAGGACCCTTGATCACCCACCACAAGGCAGTGTTGTCATTCATGTCCCAGCAGCTGCAATTGTTAATGAAAGAATGGGGTGGGGAAAGAGAAGGAAAGAGATAGATAAAGATATAACAAGGTAGTTAATAAACTTACAACAATTTTTAAGAAGTCAAAGAGTGGGAGATTGGTCTTGTAGCTAAATTATTTTACTTGGGTTCAAAGGTACTAGTTCTTTAGTCTGTCCCTGTTGTAGTTTTCCTTTACAGCCTTCGCCCAACTTATCTGAAAGTAAAATAAGTATTTTTGTGGCAATTTCAATGGTACCGCTTACTAAACAGTTTAGCCACTTTGGAAAATGCCTTTATGTGTGTTTCTGTGTCTACAGGCAGTACAATTGTAAAATTGTGCCTTTGAGCTAACATCTCAGTAGAAGGGAAGAAAAGGCAGGGATACCTTGAAGGGTAAGAGATGGTTGTTCTGAAGTTTGATGTCTCGATTACTTTTCCAGGGTAAACAGATATGCATGTTTGTTCCTGACCCTGACATGAGAATTCTTACACATATCCAGTGCACAAGGATGTACTAGAGAATGGTTGTATTCACATCTAGGAATGATTTTCTAGTCATTGGGTTGCAAGTCCTAACAAGGAGCAAGGATTCATCTCAGAAGGCTCAAGTATTGCACAACAGTTGGGGTCAGCTTCTTTTTTAAATTGTTGGGAGTGAGTGATCAAAAATAAAATTGCATTTCTACCTCAGCATTTAAAATCTTCCTCTAGATTCACCAAAGGATTCTGCTGAAGCTTATTCCATATAAATGCATTTAAATATTCATTTGTAGAGAAAGCAAATTACAGGACCCATTTACATAAGGGTTTTTAACCTTAACATATATTTTCAAAGCTAGAAAAACAATAATAATGAAAAAGAATCTTATTTCCCCTGCCACACTACGCCCGCTACACTATTTTAAGTCGTTAAGAATTTGATTGTCAGTTAAAAAATGTCTTATTTGTCTCCACTTTCTTCCCCTCATACTTCCCTCTGGAAAACATAAAATCACAGAAAAATGTCTACTTTGTACCTGCAGTTCTGAGACGGAGGGTTTCCCTCCCACTGGGACAACAGCTAAAAGTCCCAGCAGTGGTTGTCATGGTGCATTTGTCAGATGCCAAGAAACAATTTGAAAGAGTTTACAGGAATAAAACACTGCTGATCTTATGAGAGCTTAATGCCACTTCTGTGTCGTTTAAATGGTAGTCTAGTAGCATCTGGGGGAAGAGTGAAAATCTTTACTTTAAACAAAACTATGTGCATGTGTAAGTGTGAGGAGGCAGAGCTAAAATTTCACCATCAAAGTGCATGTGAGAGATATTCCAAGCAGCTCAGTGATGTCTGGTTTAGAAATTTCGGTTGAATTTATATATGCAATATTTTACTGGATTCCCATAAAGCCAACAATAAGGGGGTGTGTGGTAGAGCTGGTGAGAAGAGAGAAAATTTAGAGCTGGGATGTCAAATTTTCACAAAATTACATATTTTTGCTTCCATCTACAAAGCCTAGAAACTTAAAATCCCCCCAAATCCATGGGACTGATAGCCGAGATTTTCAAATGCACAGCAACGTTTCTGAGTTACCTGACTTTGGATGCCCAACTTAAAATATTTGAAATGGTACAAATGTTCTGAGGGAACTCCTTCTTACCCAGTCTGGAAATCAAGCTCTTTTCAGTTATCAGGAATTGCATGCCACAAAACAAAAGCGCCTAAAATGACCAATTATCTTTTTAATTCTTTGTATGCATTTATAAACTAGGTGCCCTCTTCTGCAAATAACCCACTATTTGCAGGGCTGAGTCTCTCTAAGACACATATTAAATCTATCCTGGAAGTCTTTAGTGAGTTGACCAATGTTGGAAGAATCTGGGCAAATTCTAATATCAATCTGGCTGTACAAACAGGCATTGACGTATGGCAATTTGTCTGTGTAGAAATGAGAAATTAGAGGGGTCGGAATCTACCTGCTCTAGCTCCAGTCATCCATATTGAAGACATCTACAGCCCAGCTAATTATCTCGGACTCTAGTTGGGACAAATAGACTCTTGGAGGTTGTTGGTTTTGGTTTTTATCTGCACTGATGTATTGTAAATGTGCACTCTTGGGCGATACATCATCCCCTACAAATACTCGTTCTTCTTAGACCTATTCCTCTCCTTTTACAAGATGCGTCCCCAGCAAGCTCAGTTGCCAATGTCTACCTTGTAGATGTCAACAATAAATCAGATCAAGCTCACACAAAAGTTTTTTCAAGGACTTTTTTGGTCCAGTCTCTGTGACATCTATAGGATGGATGTGAAGAAACACCATCTTCTCCTCAGACAAACATGAGCAGAAGGAAAAAAAAAGCAATGCACAACAGAACAGTCTGTAATATCAGCCAACAAGCTGTGCTACATAAACAGGCTCCCTAATTTCTTTCAAATGCATTGCTACAGTGAAGGTCAGTCACGCAGGACTCTTTTTTCAGGATGGATGAAGGGAAGGGAGCCAGTGGGACGGGGAAGGGATGTGATTTCCATTCAAAAAGGCCAGAGTCTGATCTCGGTTACATCTCGGTTACATCTCTGGTGTACATCTGGAATAACTCTATTTAATTCAGTAGCGCAGCTCTGGATAAACAGACAGTTGCATTTATCTCCACAAACCTGTCACTTACAGTGATGTGAATCAGGAGCTGAAGTTAAGGGAGCTCTGCCAGTTTTAGAAAGAGCGAGCAGAAGGAGACTCAGACTGGAGTCTGTACTTTAGTCCGTGCCTTTGCCACTGTGGTTTCCCAGTTCAGTAATTTCTGCAATGTTTTCAGGCTCATGCTGGCTTCTCCCCCACCCCCAGAACAATGCTTACTGATTTTTAAAAAGTAACCACCGAGCCGCTCAGCTAGAATCTGTCTAAATGTGTTGCATGCTAAATAGCTTTTCTAACTAAAAGAAAGGAAAGGTTATTTTTGGGTTTTTTTTCTTCCTTTTCCTTCTGCAAGACATTCCCCCTTCCCGCAAAATGCAAGGACTGTTTGGACTCCTAAGAGAAATTAATGCATTTAGGGCCAGTGTTGTAATCATAATAATGACACAACAGGGGTTTCTGGCTTGTTCTGCATGGAAAGAAGTTATTTAATTTGTCTTAATGCCAAAATAGAACATTGGGTCAAAGCACTGGCATCCCCAGTGGAGAAAGGCCTTTATTGGCTTTCCAAAAAATGCATGAAAGAAGAAGGATGAAGAAAACCTGACAGAACAGTCAATCTTGTGTAAATTTTGGATCCAGGTATCTCTAGTAGAAGGTGAAATTAAAACATAAGCCTAAGTCTCTCGGAAATGGGACTTGGGTATATACTGATGCCTTTCACTCAGATCAAGATTTGCAAAGGACTACTGCCAGATTTTCCAAATTTTAGAACAGAATAGAACAGAACAGAACAGAGTATTTCATTTGGAAGGGATCATCTATTCTAACTTCAGTCTCCCTCATTCCCAGCATTTTTCCTAACATTTCACCAATTTCAAACATAGCTGTCATGAAAAAACATTGCTAAGCTTGTATTTTCAAGGTGTACGTTCATGTCCATTCCTACCAGCTATGTCTGCTGCTCTATCAGACCAATCTACTGACTACCGAGATGTGAAGGGCTGTCTCTGGGAGCAGCCTTTCCTTCTGGTCCCTTAGAAAAAGAAACAGAATCTTTGCAGG